GTTACTTTGGAGGTAAAATTTGCACAAAAACTTATTTAAATGGATTCGAAAAACTAGATTAGCACATTTACAATCAAAAAGCACAGATAAGTTTATATTATATATAATAATTCCTTATCTCCTGTAAATAATTGTAATCGAGATACTATCTAAATCAACCGCATTAGAAGTAGAACAAATAAATAAATAATAAAACCCGGAAAAGCTGGTCTATGATTATAGTACAAATATCTAGTAGTAAATGAAAGAAGTAGTAGTTAAGTAGTAGTTAAGCCTGTAAAACTACTACATTTAATAGCAAAGGAAAATAAAACTGCACGAGAAATTTAAAATATATAATATCATAAAGCGGAAAATACAAAAAATGAATAAATAGTGAGTCGCAGAGCAATTTTAACATAAGAAAGTCCTTAAAGAGGGTTGTGGCACAATAAATCACAACAATGTGATTTTGGGCTAAAATTATTGAAATTATTTGCGACCCAGTAAAGTAAATAATACGTATCGGCAACAATAGGGAGTTCTATAAATCACCGTGGAGCGATGCACCCTCAAACAAAACCAACAGATAGAATAATAAATAGCCAAACAAGACAGACAATTTACCGCCACATTACGACATACAAAGCGATGGTTTTATTGTGTACCACATTCGTAATGAGCAACATCTGGTGTTAAAAAAGATGGTTTATGTGTTTAACAGCGTTCGTCGGGGGATGGTCTTTTACTCATCCCCCGAGATGAATTCCCGTTGGATTTATTAGGCCGTATGGTGTAAAAGTCAAATAGTTTTTCTACTACTTACATTGCCTAATAAATATCTAGTAAAATCTATATAAGATTTGAAGCTATTATTAGTCAGATGTGGGAGTAATTTTAAGCTGTGCCACTTTAAGACGGCCCTAAGAAAGCTGTCTTTACCAATTCACCAGCAATCGGTTTGTAAGGAAGCTCAAACATCGCTATATGTAAAACGTATTGCGATGTCAAATGCAATTTCCAGCTAATATATCTGGGCAAGGGGCGATAACACACCCCTACAAACGGACGCATTAGCTTTACTTCGTATCTTTCATCTCATCTCCAATAACGCCTCTGTAAGCCAATTATACGATTACTTTAACATGGTATGTATGTTTAATTAAATCCAACGCCCTCACTAAAATTTATTTATATTATTTTCATTAATTACATAAGTTTTGTTAGATGAGCGTTTTGTTTGAAATTGGCGCAAACGGTTTTACTCAATTATATGTACGTGACATTGATGAAAGAAAGTTACTTTTAGGCCGAATGGCCGGCTGAAATGATTTTAATTTGAAGAAAAATAGAAGTGCGCCTATAGATAATAATTTACTATAATCAATATTAACCAAATGTGCATAATGCGGAGATAGTAGAAAATAGAATAACTTTAATTGTAAAGAAACAGCAATCATTAGTTCTGCAGAATGCAGCTCTTTATTGAAAAATATGCTTGAAGTTTTTGCTAAGCTTCTCTTAGTTAGACTTAGCGAGTCAAAAGAGCAAACTCTAAAAAATCAAACAACAACAGAGACATGAACAATTTTAAGAAAAGATTTGCAAAAAAGAACATACAAAAGATTACATGTAAGAAAAATTAATAAGTACGTTCTGAATTACGTTAAGTTAATTAATTATTTTTAGTGCTATTTTTATAACATCGATTTTACTTCAGACCAAAATTAGTTTGCAAATAAAAAAGTGCCTTAACTTTCTAAATTCATTAATATTGTTAGATAAAAAATTAGCAGACTTTACTAATTCATTATAACTACTATATCATATATATTATAGAGGGAGTTTAAAAAACATGTATAATAACTTGAGGACATATTCTTCATATAAAAGTGATATTTGTACTTATCAAAAAATGCACAACTTTGCATTTCTATTTTTACATTATATCTCCTATATTTTCGATATTTTTTAAGCCACACAAGAAATTATCGGTTGAAAGATTTTCATTCGCTTATTGGCCGTGGACTATTGGAATTACTTCCTCACGTTTTGCTCACATCTGCGGTAAACATTATAGAGGCGATGAGGTAACCACCGAAGGTGACGATAAAGCCTTTTGATTAAATGAAATTATATTAATCTCTTTAACTCAAACTTGATATTAATCCCCAAAATAATCATCTGCGTTAGTTCTAGATAGTTTATTGCTCTTTTTCAGTTTTTAATCGAAACTATTTTTTCGTGTTTTATTGCCTTACTTGATTATTGTGTTTATCGCCCTGAAAAAACTGTCTATGTAGAAATATGAAATCGAGAAGGCTTTTATTCCAAATTATTCATCTTGTTTTAACTTATTTTGCGACTACATGGATTCCACTTACTTTTCTTTATTTCCCACTACATAATTTAGTGTCTTTTAGTTTTTCCATTTCCACCTGCATTTGCTTTTATCTCACATCCTTTGTGATTCTCAACGTTTAAAAATTTGTTCCTCCATAGAATCTTCGAACATCTTTTAAGGTGTAGGAGAGGTTTTCGAGGCATTTCTACATACACTTTCTTATCTATCTTCTAATTTACATTTTATAGAATTTTTAAATGTTGGTAAATCTTATTGATATTTAGTATCATTTTCAATCGGTTGGTTTCTTGATTAAAAATATAAAATAGTCGTTAAATGTAAAACTAGGTATCTCCCGATTCATAATTCATCGGAAAATGAATGGAGTAATAATATGCCCTTACCTTCCTCCTCTACATATGTTTATTTCTTTAGCTAGCAACTGTTCTACTTTCATATTAATTCTGGAATGTTCCGCAAGTTAATTATGTTCCAAAAAAGCGAGACTATTTCATTGTGTGGTGTTTTACAGATTTCATTTCAATTCCGATTTAGGGTCCAATTTTTTGGACCCTAAACCTTTCGCGAATTTTGATAGAAGCCACCCACAAGTTTCTTACTGCTTCCTCATTTAGGTCGAATTTGTGCTGCTGTTCTTCATTTCAAAGTATATGTTCATGTTCTGTCTTTTCTTCTTCTGCACTGTATGGGTTTGCAAAACATGTTCTAATTTCTCTTTCCTAATTTAGTTAGTGTGTGAGGCATCTTTCATCTCAAGCTGGATCATTTTGAGCTTTCTCCATATTTTCCACTTTTTCCATATCTTTCCTATTCCTGAGTCGTTGACTTTCTAATACATATGCCTTTTTTCGTTTTTATAGGTCTTTTATGAGCTGTGAATCACGGTGTTTTATTAACTGTATTTACAAGGTTTTTCTGTATCGTCCTGAGATCCGCTTTGAATATTGCTTTTCCAGCTGTTTCATTGTTCGTTTATGTTATTATCTCTTTTATTGAGTTTTAGATGTTTCTCGCTCCAGACTTCGTTCATATAATTGTTTTATGCGCTGTTCTTTCAGTGATTTAATGTTTAACTTGTATATTTATATCTAGGGAACTAGTTTTACACTCAATAACTTTGTCTCGTTTGTTAACTTGCTTATGAGATACAGGGTGAAAATGAGTACATGTTTAATAGACAATCATTTGTAAAGTATAAGTCATATAAGTAGAAAAACATGCCTGGCGTGCCTCAAAAAAGTTATTAGATAAACTTGTGATTTTTTAATGGGACACTCTGTTTAATTTGATACCATTGGATAGCCCGAATCTTGCGGAGTTCAATCATATCTTATACAGTCTTTTTTAGAAGATCGTCCACATGAATTTTAATAGATTATTCAGTGTTTTGAAGTAAGATTTCTGAACTAATTACGATATTCAGCTCCTCATTTCCACCAATTCAATAACAAGCCTGGTGATGGTGGTGTGGATATGGTCCAATTTAATTTCTAAAATAACTCCATTGCGAAAAAACTATGCAAGAGTGCTGATTCTTGTTTCAGTGGCAAAATCAGGCCGATTTTGCTTAGCAAATCGCGTGTAAACCAAGTTAAAACTAGTAATTGAAACAACATTCCGGAAATATTACAATACTTTACTTTCCAGTCAAACGCCTTTGTATTTTATACAACTGCTTATTACATTTCCTAATGTATAGTTCAAAGTTGAAGGCAAAAGCGTAATTTTTTTAAAGTAATCCCACCTCGAATGCTTCGCTATATATCAGGAGACGCCTATGAGAGGGTGTCTCCTACTCGGGATGATTAATTACAGAACGATGAATATGCATGAACGGGCCGCCGGGTTGCTGGGGAGGGCGTTATGCGTTATCTGAATACTAAATACTTACAAAACTCCGCGTATAATATGTATGAATAACGCTTTCCGCTTACATTATACTGCGACGAAATGGAAATGTAAAAACAAGTTGAAAGTTATAAACCAACAAGATTTGCAATTTGCCAACGGGCGAGTGAATTGGATTATGTAACTCTTTGCGACCGTTTTCCTCTCTAAGAATTTCATTTCATGGCTTATGATGATTGTATGGCGTTTGTAGCGCAAGCTGAAAGTTTTAAATCGAAACTCCTACTCAGTTTGAATCAGTTAAACGGCGATACAATTTTTACGTGTTCAAGTGAATGAACGTGATGGTTCTTGTGTGTATTTTTTATATTTTTTTCATTTTACGTTTTTAAAAACCGCGTTTTTACATATATATTTTTAAATAAAGTTTCGCTTCAGCTACTACAATAAAACACAGTTTTCAATAGATTTATTTTTTATTAAATTGCGTTACTTTATTTTCAATAAGTCAAAATGTGACAATTAAACCCTGTAATGCTCGTTACTTGCCAAATTGTTGATTTGTCATAATTAGCAATTTCATCTCCAACTTTCCAAAATGCTGCTCGAATAACATTCTTTAGTTTCTTTTAATTAATATAACTTGCTCGATTTCACGTGTTATGATTGATAACGTTGCCATCTATTAGCCAGCAGGCAAACTATATTTCCAGCGTATTGCAACATAAGCCGCGACTTCAAAAGTCCAAACGCCCACTGGCGGCTAAATTATAACTACACTTTAACTAGTATAATTTGACACTTATTTTGATTATATGTCATTGTGACTTATTCTGCTTAGTTCTACTCAGCTTTTGCAAGCCTTTAAACAGATAAAAACATTTTGAAAAGTGTGTAAGTATTGTTTTATGTTATAGACTTAAAAACAAGGGATAAAATATGGGATTTCAGGAAGCACGAGTAATGTTTACATTTCGCATCGCCCTTCATCGGTAGTTGACCTGTCGAATTGTGTTTTCGTTAAATGCCCAGAATATACAGAATATTAGGCTGATTTCAATTGGAATGAGAATCAATTTATAGTTAAAATAAGTTTCTTTAACTTTAACGGCGAATTATGACAATAATACTAAAACAGTGATGTCCGATAAGAACGTTTCTGTTACGAAGTTAAGTTTTCACAAGGCAACACAAGAGCTAAACGGTCCGGCTAACATTAAAACGATCCTAAACTCACCAGAAAAGCATATTATGACAATAATTACGCAACTACTGATAAAAATACAAACCAATTAAAAATGAGTGAAATAAACATCTAAAAAAACTGGAGGTAATTAGCAATGGATTGGACTCCATCCAACATTCTCAACCGAGAAACGATTCCCTTGGAAAAATATAGAAGAAGAAGATGAAGAAAAGGTTGTTTTCAAACGTTCTGCCAGAACCAGATATTTTATTTTTAACCGTCCGCAACAGTCGGCTGATTGCGCTTGCGCGCCTATGTTGGCGATATGGCGATAATCTGCCAACGTCGCAAGTAAGAAAAAATCAATTTACAGTGCATATGCAGTGTTTCAAGCTGCATTCCATAAGGTAATAAAAAATGGGTAGTTCGATTTAAAAAAATACACTTTGATCTTGCCTCGCTTTTCTGAGACACTCTGTATCATATAAGATATTTTTCAAATGTGCGCACTTAGTGCGTCAACAACTTTTACATGAAACTATTTTTCGAAACTTCAACACCATCGGAAATAATGGACTTTATCGCACTAAAAAACCACCGTGTATAATATGTCGATCACTACCTCTATCACTTTCAAGTACTATGTAAATACGAATATAAATTATTTTTTATAATTATACATAACTGGTAGGAGATAAATTCTGTTGTGACTAGAAAGAAATATACTTAATCTAAAACTAAAACAGTTGCACGTCTTCAACCGCCAAACTGACAATGTTGCCAAGTTGTCATGAAAATCTATTGTTTTTGATAAGGGATTATTGAATTGGTTTTGTCAATGAATCTCAGACACAATGTCGGTTAAAAAAAACAGGTTTAGATCACTTTTGAAGACTTTAAAAGACTCGAAGTTAACAAATACGATTGAGATATGGGAAAAATTAACAAAAATTTATAGGCAAAAATAAAAACTGATCAAACCAACAACTAATCGATAAATCAAACGTCAACCTGACAAGACAGTAATTCGCTACCAACTTATAAAGTTAAAAATTCCTTCAAACTTTTGAATATAGAACTAGTTAGTTTTATATTCAAAACTTCAAATCGAATCAAACAGTAAAGATTGTTTATTGACGGAACATATGGGCGATTATGTCTATCCCTCTTTAATGTACTTTGCTATAAATAAAGTTAACGTGATCGTGACGTATAACGATATATAATACTACGTTATAATTATATTAGTAATATATTTTTGTTTGCGTGGTATGAAAATTACTAATTTGGGGTGTTGATGACGTGTAACGGATTTAGTTTCAGATTAAGTATACATACTCACGTACCTCCAGTAAGACAAATAGTATGACATATTTTAAAATTAACATTCCAAACCATTTTATGAAAATATCTATAATACGTGATAATAATTATATGAAAGGCATCATATAAAAAATTATTATCCTAATCGAAATTATTATATGAAATAATCAACAGTAGCAACATCGCAAGTATACTATACTATAGTTCCAGTGGCAACGTTGCATTCAAAATATGTTTGCGGCTAACTTCACACTTTCGCACGATTGGTCCGAAAAATAAAAATTTACGCGACGCTCCTCTAGCAACCAGTACCACTATGGTACCACTTCTCTTCATCTATTGTATGAGAGTAACCTCTGTGATCAGTGCGTGTTTGTGGCGTGTTTCAAACATTGTTTAGATTTTGTGTTCTAGCCAGTTTGAGTTTTTAAAGAATCTTAAACTTAAATCCTATAGAATTTGACTGGTATATTTCCTAATAAACATGGGCGACACGAATAAGAAAATCGTCTATGTGGGTGGTTTAGCTGAAGAAATATGTGAAGAAGTATTAAAAGCCGCGTTCATTCCATTTGGAGATATTGTTGATATCCAAATACCACTAGACTACGAATCAGAGAAACATAGAGGCTTTGCTTTTATCGAATTCGAAACATCTGAAGATGCTGGTGCAGCCGTGGACAACATGAATGATGCTGAACTCTTTGGAAGGACCATCAGGGTGAACCTGGCCAAACCACAAAAAATAAAAGAAGGTTCCACTCGACCAGTCTGGTCAGAGGATACCTGGCTTCAAAAACATGCAGGGGAAACAATTAAGGACACGACAAACGAAAACGAGAAAACCAGCCAAGATATGGAGGTTACTGCAGAAGTGCCCCAAAAAATCATAAACCCTCAAGTCTATCTAGACATAAAAATTGGAAAGACAGAAATAGGCCGCATAACAATAATGCTTAGGGCTGACATAGTGCCACTTACAGCTGAAAATTTTCGATGCCTTTGCACTCATGAAAAGGGCTACGGATATCAAGGCAGTATAATTCACAGAATCATTCCGGATTTTATGTGCCAAGGAGGCGACTTTACCAACCAAAATGGCACGGGTGGAAAATCTATTTATGGCAGGAAGTTTGCTGATGAAAACTTCAAGTTAAAACATACAAGTCCGGGAACATTATCGATGGCCAATTCGGGACCAAACACCAATGGCTCTCAATTCTTCATCTGCACCGTGAAGACGGAATGGTTGGATGGAAAACATGTAGTGTTTGGACATATTATCAGTGGTATGGATGTTGTTAAACGAATGGAAAGATGTGGATCGAAAACAGGAAAACCGACGGAAAAAGTTACGATATCTGCATGTGGTCAAGTCCAATAACTGTATTACAATCGATTTTCATAATTTGAACTGGAAATGTATGTCTAGATTAATCTAAATGTATATGTATGTAAAATGAAATGTATTATTAATTTAGCAATTAATAGTTTAGTAATTAGCAACGCACTACATATGTCAGTTATATACTTGACTGTTTCAGTGTCAAAATATAAATGTAATTAAAAACTGTAATAAACAAAAAGGGAAATACTTTCATATTTCTTCCTGTATATCTAGTTTTAATCCCGAAAAATTAAAACGTACGTTGTTCTCGTGAGTGCTAGAAACAGTAGTTTTAAGTACTCTAAAACCCCATAATATACGGTAATTACAACTGAGAATCAATCAAAATTTTTTTTTAAATGCTTGTTTAAGAACTTTGCAGCTATTCAAAAGATTCATGACTATCAGATAGATCAAGACACGATCATCGAATCAATTGAGAATAATGCGTACTTAATAAAAAAATTAAATTGTCTTGATGAACAATCACAGTGTTCTACATGGACGGCAAGTTGCGGACAATCCCGAAAATCCACTTATTTTGTACTGCTTGATCGGAGAAAAAGTTGAGTCAGCATGTTTTAAAATCTTATTGGAATTATTGAAAAAAATTAATCGCATAACGTTGATAGGGAAAAAACGTCATGCGATTTAATTAACTGGAATTTGAGTACAATCATTTAACATATTACTTGACTAAATCAAATCTGGATTCAATCGATTAAAAACCAGGTTGTTTTCGTTGTTTGCGTTATTTATACGCACAGAAATCTGTTCCGAAAAATACATACATTTGTCAAGCGCTGATCTATTTTTCTTTAAATACACATGTTTATATAAAAATGATGGTTATATTCATATAGAGTCCAAAATAGCGGTTCGTTACGTGCCACTATTTTATGTTTTATAATAACCTAGTTATCAAGCAATCGTTCACTAGAGGTAAAACAAAGAAATGAATCAATTCTGGATGTGTAATCGACGAGTTTTATTGTTGTTCCAATTTCATTTAATAACACACTGTACACACGTATCCCACATGTTAATCTAGTAAATTCGTTTATTATACAAACCGTGGTGTCAAATCGATTGATGCATTTTAACGTTGCATTAAAACATACTTTTTTGGTAATCTATCTAACCCACTCCACTCATGGTAAACAATTGATCGTCCTGTGTATAAATGTAATATTCCAAATATATTGATTTATTTTATAAAAAACCGCCAAACTAAATTATAGCGATCATATAAAATATAAGAATTGAATTCAAAGCAACATTTTTAGGTGTATATGGATTGCAAACAGCATAAATCTGCAGTAAAACCACACTCAAACAACCATGTGAACAAAATGTTGATTGGAATGACATCCTTAATTGAAAATCAATATACGACAGCAAAACAATAATTTAGTATTACATGTATATTAGTATATTAATTATTATACTATTAACTAGAGAGTGCATATTTATGGTTCGCAAACCAATATATATGACATTTTCCGCATCGTAAAAATTATTATTGTCTACTGATTCTCAAGACACTTTACATTTTGTCCATAAAGTGGGGTTGCCCATTCTTCTCTCTTCTCTTGGTCAGAATTTCACAGCCAGTTTCATTAACTAACAGAGTTTGTTCAAACTGTGCAGACCACATTCCGTCTGCAGTAACTGCAGTCCAATTGTCAGGCCACATGACATCTTTCCACGTTCCTTGCGAAATCATGGGTTCAATCGTAAAACAATGACCAGCTTTCATAACCCCGACAGCACGGTTATCTAAAAATAAACAACTAATAAAGGATACGTTATTTACTAGCGCAGGTGGTTAATTAATAGCAATGGAATACCACAGTGAAATATCCCTTAAGCGCCATTTCTAATAAGAGGAGCTCATAAGTTTGTTCCGTGTTCTAACATTTGAAAAATGCTACTTACTGGCATAATGAGGTACATTCGGGGCTGTGTGAAACAACCTATGAATACCATGTCCACAATAACTCTTGACGACAGAAAATCCATGATACTGAGCATGTTTCTGGATGATATTTCCAATTTCTCTGTACTTCTCACCAGGCTTCACAATATCTATGGCCTTTTGAAGGCACTCGTGTGTAACTTTAACGAGATTCTTTACATTGTCAGCCACCTCGCCTACAAACAATGTTTCGTTCAAATCGCCATGGAAGCCTCGATGGTACACAGTGATATCCACATTGCAGATGTCGCCGTTTTCCAAAGGTCGAGTATCGGGAATTCCGTGACAAATCACTTCATTCACAGAAGTACAGCAGGAAGCCGGAAACTTCAGATAATTTAATGGAGATGGGTAACATTCTCTTTCAATGCAAGCTTCATGGACGATTCGATCTATTTCGTCTGTGGTTACGCCCACATCACATACTCTTGCAGCTTCATCTAGTACTTCTCTTCCTAGTCTACCAGCCACACGAACACCTTTAATTTTAAAAAATATATTTTTATTCAGCGTGCTATTGTATTTTATTCTCTCATGAGTCATGACTTCATGTTTCCGCATTACAATTTTATGGGTCGCAGTAATTTTATTACTCCATTACTCCATTTAAACTACTCTTTTACTATCACTCCATTTAAAGACACAACCTTATTTTTATCAGACAGTGCCGTTGCATCGCGGGTAAATAGAGTGTTTATATATTATTTATCATTATAAGAAAATAAACCAGGTATTTTGGCGATTAACGTCGTATCAAGTTCTGAAGACTGTGATAGTGATGAACAACTACAAGTATTTTTAATTACGGATGTCCAAGGTAAGTGTTACCTTGGACAATTAACCGACTATTAACCCCATTTAATTTGAAACGAACCCCGAAACCTTTGACCGTTCTTTTAATGCTAAAAGTTTAATTGCTCTTCAAGGAATAACTTTTTTGTCTTCCTAAAGTTTTTGCAAATTCCTAATTTACACCAAAAAAAATAACAACAAACGCGGAGAAATATAAACGAACAAATGACGCAACCTAGTAAAACCTTCTCATTCCGTTTTTTATTCAACATTCTGTAGAAGTGAAAAAACCAATGCACGTGAGAGAATCGAATTTTTAGTGAAAATCGTACATACCTTCAATTTCTTCATCATCTAGAACTTTAATATAACCAGATCCCTTAGCTGCTTGTTCACTTAAGGGGATGCCCTGCGGATGATCAGCATAATCGGGTCGCTGTATATGCAACGGTACAGTGCGCTTTGGTGTTTGAGGGTAAGCTCTCAAATTACCAGTATAAGTATAAGGGTATGAATAAAACGCGTCCGTTTTGGGTTCATTTCCAGAGCCTTCTGAAAAAAATATAATTTATGTTATTTCTTGCTGATATTCCGCCTCTGATGGGAAATTCAGACTTCACGTAGAATATGCTATTGGAGCATTTTCTTGAAATATCTATGTATAGGAAAAATGTAGTTTATGATATTTTCGTTAAGGAGACCATAGTTTTAATCGGCAAAGCGGCAGTACTGCTTGTCCTTAGATTCCGATGTAAATAATTACCATACATTATTATACATTTTTGCATAAATACATTGGCTTTTTGATCGATTTCAGATTAAAGATAATATCCACACATCAAAATACAGTAAACTCCGCTTATAATAAACCCGGTTATAGAAAACTTCCGGTTAAAACGAAGTTTTTTCCTTTAATTGAAACGTCGTCCATAAAGACCAACGTATTTTTTTACTGCAAATATCGAACCCGTTTATAACGAACTTCCGGAAATAACGATCACTTTTTAAGTTAGTTGTATATTCACTTTCCGTTTATAACGAACTTCCACGCTCAGCAACACCAATCCTGCGGAGTTATTTATATTAGTGAGAGCGAGAGACAGGCAGTGACTTGTTGTTTTTTGCCGCGTTATGTATGTAAATCGTTTTAGAATGGAAAAACAAAACCGCAAAGCTTTTTCACTAAATGAAAAGTACGAGATTATTAACAAAATAAAAAGTGGAGTAAAGCAGAGTGACATTTGTAAGGAATTAGCACTTGGAAAGTCTACTGTTGCAACCATATGGAAAAACAGAGAAAACATTTTATCAGCGTATGACAAAACAAATGTTAGATGTAGGAAGTTAAAATCATCTGCACATGAAAAGGTTGACAAGGGACTTATTGAGTGGTTTACTCAAAAAAGACAAGAAAACGATCCCATAAGTGGCAGTGTTTTGCAAGAAAATGCTAGTGAAATGGGGAGTAAAATCAAAAACAAAGAGTTTGCTTGTTCTAAAAGTTGGGAAGAGC